GACAAATTGAAACTAATATTAATTTATGATTTACAATTAATATTTATTAATAATTAATAAAAATTGATATTAATAAGCGTTATATTTGAAAAAAATGTCAAAAGCTTCTAAACTGCTATTTTAACTAGCATTTCAATGAGTTAGCTTAGAGTATCTCCAACAGATCATCCAAAATGGAGATTTTGGTGATTTTTGCTCCAACAGGTTTCCAAAACTTTATCCAAAGATTCCCAAATTTAAGGAATTCACCATTCCTTACCAAATCTTATGGGATTGAATTCCATTCCACCCAAAAGTGTTTAAATGACACAAATACCCTTCTGCTCCTATTAAACCTTAGCCGCTGCTTATTGCTTGGATGCTATGTGTAAACACTTGTTGGTAACAATATTTATATATCGGCATTTGATGTTCAGCATGAATGGTTTGGTTTATAGTTGGTTGAATTTTTTTTTCACGTTTTATGTTTATATATATATATTTCAATAAATGGTAAACATTTTTTTCCTCATTAAATGTTAATTTTATTATGTTATTTGTATTTTTAAAAAATAAAAAAAATATATCGAAGTAAGGGTATTTTTGTCTTTTTTCATCATTCCATTCCAATTCTGTTGCAAACTAAACAGAAAGATCCCAATTCATTAGACATATTAAATTTCAATCATGCCAACCAAACACTTGGTCAAATCTGATAACATTCCATTTTAATTTCTTCCAGATTCCAATTCTTTTGACAGATTCCATTCTTTCAGAAATCATTCTGCGAACCAAACGCCTCCTAAAATTTTGATGTCAAACACATTAAATATTTTAATACTCCAATTAATTTGCAATCTTCATATAAAGAAAAATAATCAATTTACAATCTTCAATTAATTATAATTGATATGGAATTTTTTATACCATGTATCAACCAACTGTATAACAATAAAAGTTAAAGTTACAATATTTAATAATCAGTAACTAATATGAACAATTTTTTTAAATCTTCACAGACCAAACAATATCCAATATTTAATTAAATTTGTCTGTCTGGATAAATGAAAGTTGTTGTTTCCTTTTTTTTATCTGCCAACAGTCTGAATAACATAAATGACTGATTTACCTCCCGATATTAATTATTTGAACATCAAAACAGAATATCATAAAGAGGTTGACAATGGAGTGTCTCATTTGGGAAGAAGACGATGCTTTAAATAAGAGGTAGATGTGTCATTTTTGTGGCTGAATGAGGACAACACACTATTTCTATCTGTGCGATTAAACCATGTTCTGTGCGAATAAGCCACAAGTAAACAACCCAAATGAGCTGTGCGAATAAGCCAGATAGACCAATAAGCATAATTAAGCCGTAAATAAACAACCCCTTAGATACCATTAAAAAATAATTAATTTACAATTTTCAAAATGAAAAATGAAAAATCTACTTGAATTAAAGTATTTTGAAAATTATAATTTACATTTTTCTACTTTGAAAATTTTCTTACAAATATATCGAAAACAATACTTATTAAATTCAAAATAAAGTTTTTATGAAAATATAAATAACGTCCATTAATTACACACATATACTTACTAAATGCATTCCTATATTAATTGTAATCTATACTGTATTATAAAACATTTGATAAAACTCTTAAAAACCAATTTTTATGCATGAAGTACTGTGTATTAATGCATAGTACTTAAAATTTAAGATTACACATAAATTGCAGATAAACATAATCAAATACAAGATGAACATCTCATTTTAAATATAAAAAATCTAAAATATAATTAGGATAATTATTGAGTTATAACAGAATCATTATTTTAATAAAAATTTGATTGTTAAGCCAAAAATAAATTACTTTACTATTTGAACAAAATTAAATTATAAAAAAATTGAATTAAAGAAATTGTATAAAAATCGAGAACTTTTAATAGTTAATTTGATATTAATATCGATATATTTTTTCAAATTTTTATGATATTTTCAAATTTATTTTTATTCAAAAGTAAAAACATTATCTTTTTCAAAGCTAAACAATATTTTATATTAATAAAGATAAAAAATAAAACGAAACATTATAACGAAGATGTATCTTGCTGCATTGCGCGAGTGCCATTCTAGTCATTTTTAATCATAATATTAATACTTACATATTCTTTTCCTTTTTAATTATTATTATAATAATATTTGTAATTAATATTCTTTTATTTTTTTCTCATGATATTATTAAATTAGTTTCAATTTGATTCGGTCCTTTTTGTTGTTAAGTAGTTCTGTTTTTATTTATTTCATCTTATTTTAATAGCTAAAAAATATTCATAGAATTAATATTAATATATTATCTTTACTTTTTATTATTTTATTCATTGTTATTATGATTTTAATATTTTTATAGTAATTATTATTTTTATTTTTATAACTAGAACAGTACTCGCACAATGTAGCGAGACACATCTTAATTTTAATTTTCTATTTTATTATTTGTTTTTGTCGATGTTATAATACGATTTTATGTGTTTTTAAGAAAACAATAATAATTTTATTTTTGAATAAAATATAAATTTGAAGATATTATAAAATTAAAAAAAATATCAATGTTAATATCAAATCAACTATTTAAAAGTTCTCATTTTTTATGTAATTTATGTAATTTATTTTTATTATAATTTAATTTAAGTCTAAAAATGAAATAATTTATTTTTGGTTTAATAATATAACATTTTATAAAGATAATAATTAAGTATTCTGTTAGAACTCAATGATTATCTTAATTATATTTTAGATTTTTTATATTTAAAATCAGATGTTTATCTTGTATTTGATTTTGTTTATCTGCAGTTAATTACACGAATTCAGATATGAAGCTTTAATAAGTTGTACTTACACACAATCTACTTGCAATATTGAGCTTTAAGTAATATGTATTAATAAACAGTACTTTACACATAAAAAATGATTTTTGTCAATTGCTTTATAATATAGTATAGATTATTGATTTTTATATTACAATTATTGTTATTTCATTATGATCAACATGTAAAATTTAAAACCAATTTTTTAAATTCTATTTTAAATAAATAAATAAATAAATAATATATATATATATATATATATAATCAATTTAGAAATTTTATATTAACGGAAACTTTTTTTTTATCTAAAGTTTATTTGTTAGTAATTTATTTATTTTATTATTTAAGTTTTGTCTTGGTTACTAAGGAGCCGTTTACCCAAATGGTTACCCGGTAAGCGTTTACCAATAGGAGTCAACATTATAATTTATTTTAATACGTAAGATTTTAGTACATCAAAATCTATCGAATGCAACAATTTATTGGGTAAGTACTTACCTGGGTAAGAGTCGTCATCCTCACTTACCGGGTAAGACTCTATATCTTTCTTATCGCTCTTACCTGGTATGATTCTTAGTTGTTCTCATGTTCATCCAATGAGGAGATTTATGCGTTAAACACTTACCAAATAAGTATTTAGTAAACGACCCATAATTATAATAAAATATAGTGATTATTTAAATAAAATAAAAAATCAAATTGCATGACACTAATAAAATGTAGGGCAAAATGCACAATATAACAATCTACTTTCATAATTTTTTTAAAGCATTGTATTTTCAGTTTTTCTTATTACAGCAATGTACTTTCAAACTATTTTTTATTAAAACATTGTACTTTGAAAAATTTACCCATTATAGCATTGGTTACCCTTTTGATTTAAATTTACCCAGTATACCAGGTTTCCATGCCACCTCATTGTCTACATAGGTTGTCCACATGCACTATAGTGATGTGACTTTCTTATTACAACATTGTACTTTTAAAATTATTTATCATAACATCTATTAGTTCTTATTAAACAATGTACATTTAATTTTAATATCTAGATATTTTACATATTATTTAATAAATATATTAAATGAATTAAAAAAATTCTAAATTATTCATTAATATACCAATATTAATAAGACTAGCAGAAGACAACTTATCTTGCTAATATTTAAAAAAAATATGTGTTTTTCGAAAAAAGAAAATAAAAATTGTTCATTTTTTACCAAAAAATATTATCTTTTAAATAATATATTATATTTGTTCAAAAACTTTTAATTGACGTATAAATATATTAAATCAATTAGATTTTTTAATTATTTATTAATATAACAATATTAAAAAAGTTGTAGATCACAATTTATTTCGTTAAAATTTTAGAAAGAACTTTAAAAGATATGTATTTTTTTGAACAATATAAAATAAGATATGTATTTTTTTGAACAATATAAAATAAGAGGTGTTACCTTTTTTACAAACAAAATATATCTCGAAAATAATGTAGCATATTTATTTAAGAAATATTTATTATACAATATTTAATTTGCATGCAACTTAATAAGAAAAATTCAAAAAAAATTAAATGTTTTTTTAAATCATAGCAATGAAAAAAAATGAAAATCACTAATAATAATTTGAAATAAGTTTTTATTTGTATTTTAATTAAGTCATCAAAATGGTGTGTCATGCACATCACCTCATTAAAGCCACACAAGCAAAAAAATTCAATGTGTTAACCGGTTTAAAAGGTAATAGGTTACCCATTAATGGGTAGATTTTTTAAAGTGCAATGTCTTAATAAAAAATAATTTAAAAGTAAATTGTTGTAATAAAGAAAAACAAAAATAGAATGCTATAATAAAGAAATTTATGAAAGTAGTTTGCTATTTTATGCATTTAACCCTAAAATATATATTTAAAAAATAAAAAATATTAATAATAATATAATGATTAGTTACCAAAAAAGTAAATCACGGTGATTAGTAACAAATAAAACGGTAGAATCATGGGATTAAAAAACTCTACAATTTCTCGTAGTTCGATGATCCATACGACTCTCACAAAGCTATAAATGCTTCTGCTTTCTTCTTTCTCTTCCATTTCCTTCTTTTTTCTTAACGACCAAGTTTTCTCCTTCCTTCTTCTGCTTTTCAATTCCTTCTCCTATTTTAACACATTTTCTGCACATCTTTGCCACCAACATGGCGTTCTACTCCTACCCATCTCATTCTTTCCCTTCGTCCTCGCACATTTCATTTGGCAGTTTTGCTCTCAGACTCAGAGATTTCTTCACCCCTGCAGTTTCTGTCGTTATTGGGAATGTTTTCTCTGCAATTTTCACCTTCTTCTTTGCATTAGGTATGTTCTTCTCCGTTCTTATGTTTCCGATGTTTTTGGCGTTATTTTGTTGGGAATGGAGGTGTTTTTTGGATCCTTATTATGTTTTTTGATGTGGGTTTTCTGTAATTTCAATTGGGATTTCTTCGTTTTCTTTCGAAGTTTCCAATTTGATTATGATTTGCTTATCAATTTGGCACATTAGGGTTAGGGTTTGTGAGTTCCCATTTGATTCCATCCGGTTTCCTTCATTTATTCATTTGCAAATACCATGTTTCTGATCCTTGTAACTTGAGAAATTGATGAATGAAGATAGATTCATAAAGGTGAAGGTAGATTAATTGATGAAAAACTTTTAGTATCATACTTTTTCCAGTTGCATATTCAAATGAAAAGCTTGATATTCACACAATAATCATGTGAATGTTGCCATTTTCTTTCACTTTTATTCATAATGAATTTCACCATCTTTTGGTTATAATCAAAGCATCAAATTCTTTGCAGTTGGAACTTTGTTAGGAGCAATGACTGGGGCTTTGATAGGCCAAGAAACTGAAAGTGGATTCGTTAGGGGGGCTGCGGTTGGAGCCATTTCGGGTGCTGTTTTCTCTATCGAAGTCTTCGAATCTTCACTTGTTTTGTGGAAATCAGATGAATCTGGGATTGGCTGTCTTCTTTATTTGGTGAGCCATTTTACTGATCTCTAACCTTCATACAGTTGCTTAATTTTATTTTCTGCCATAGATTCGGACTAAGTTGATGAAATAGATCTCAAAAGATGCTTCAAAGAGTCATTTTCTAATTAAATTTTTTTGATGATGGTGAAGTTCAGGAATGCTTAGACCATCTCTGATCGTTTGCACCATTTCAGGCACCAAAATGGTGTCAAATTTGGTGTAAAGAGCTCAGTGCCGATCCGTATTGAAAATGGTGTTATTTGGTATAAACGGCTTAACGCCAACCCATTTTGGAAATGGTGTCGGATTTGGTGTAAACGGCTCAGGGCCAACTCATTTTGAAAATGGTGTCAAATCTGGTGTACATAGCTCAATGCCGACCCATTTTGAAAATGGTGCAAACAACTCAATTCCAACCCATTATACCATTTTTGACGTCAAATAGAATATTCCAAATATATTACTTGGTGTAAACAGCCCAGTGCTGACCCATTATGAAAATGGTGCAAACAACTCATTTCCAACCCATTATACCATTTTTAACATCAAATAGAATATTCCTTGGTGTAAACAGCTCAGTGCCGACCCATTCTGAAAATGGTGCAAACAGCTCATTTCCAACCCATTATACCATTTTTAACATCAAATAAAATATTCCAAGTATATTCCTTGGTGTAAACAGCTCAGTGCCGACCCATTCTGAAANATTTCCAACCCATTATACCATTTTTAACATCAAATAAAATATTCCAAGTATATTCCTTGGTGTAAACAGCTCAGTGCCGACCCATTCTGAAAACGGTGCAAACACCTCATTTCCAACCCATTATACCATTTTTAACATCAAATAGAATATTCAAAGTATATTCTTTGGTGTAAACAGCCCATCTCCAACCCGTTATACCATTTTTAACACCAAATAGAATATTCCATGTATATTATTGGTGTTAACAGCCCATCCCCAACCCATTATACCATTTTTAACATCAAATAGAATATTCCAAGTATATTCCTCGTTGTAAACAGCTCATCTCCAACCCATTATACCATTTTTAACATCAAATAGAATATTCCAAGTATATTCCTCGATGTAAATAGCCCATCTTCAACCCATTATACTATTTTTAACATCAAATAGAATGTTCCAAGTATATTCCTCGGTGTAAACAGCCCATCTCCAACCCATTATACCATTTTTAACATCAAATAGAATGTTCCAAGTATATTCCTCGGTGTAAACAGCCCATCTCCAACCCATTATACCATTTTTAACATCAAATANATTTTTAACATCAAATAGAATGTTCCAAGTATATTCCTCGGTGTAAACAGCCCATCTCCAACCCATTATACCATTTTTAACATCAAATAAAATATTCTAAGTATATTACTCGGTATAAACAGCCCATCTCCAACTCATTATACCATTTTTGACACCAAATATTCTAAGTATATTCCTTAATGTAAACAGCGCATCTCCAACCCATTATACCATTTTTAACATCAAATAGAATATTCCAAGTATATTCCTTGTTGTAAACAGCCCATCTCCAACCCATTATACCACTTTTGACACCAAATATTCTAAGTATATTCCTTAATGTAAACGACCCATCTCCAACCCATTTTTGACACCAAATAGAATATCCCGAGTATATTTTTTATTCTGGAGTTCTATAGATTTTCAATAAACACCCTTATATTTACGAATTCGACCGTAATTTTTTTTGTTAACAATAATTTTATAAATTTTAATATTATACAATTGTAACACAAATAAAATTACTACTATGTGTTATTTAATTCTCTTTTCTTGGTTATTCACCCACACCAAAACGACGATAGATATATGGTACTGCGTTGGAGCGATTTGGTGTTAAATTTGGAGTTAAATCCGTATGGGTGTTTAAAAATGGTTGCTTTTACAAGCATTGGTAGCTTTCTTGAATCATAACAACATTTTCAAGAAACCATATATCTCTATTTTCAACAACATTTTACTTCCATGAAAAAATAACAAGAAATCAGAAACTAAATACATTTTAATCCATATATTCTTCATTAATCACAGATTGATGTCATTGTGAGCTTGTTGAGTGGTAGGCTTGTTCGTGAACGTATTGGTCCGGCCATGTTAAGTGCGGTTCAAAGCCAGGTAAATTCCGCAAAGATTTGATAATCCCAGTTCGTTTTTTAGCTCTAAATAGCAACGTGATTAATACTCTTCCTTTTTAACGCTAAATAAAACTTAGATGGGAGCTGTGGAATCGAGCTTCGATGAGATTAACAGCATATTTGATGTTGGTGGTTCTAAAGGCTTGCCTGAATATTCGGTTAGAAAGATACCCAAAATCACGATTACGAGTGGTAACGATGTGGATGATTCAGGGGAGAGAGTCTCTTGCTCTGTGTGCCTTCAGGTAATACCATTCCTAATTGCTTTGTAGCTTATAAGTCTATCATTTAGAGTGTGTATGGTACACGGATGAGACTGGATGGGCGAGACAAAAGTACGCAGGTGAAAGAATTTTGAAAGATTTTAGGGTTTTGATCTGACATCGGTAATTTAGTAATTTACCACCCTTGTCCTATATTCCTGATATTTGTTACACCTATTTTTGTGGGACAAAAAAACTGCAAGTCCTGTCTTGTCCAATCTAATGTCGCACGAAACGCGAGACACTAGTTTTTTGTACTGTCCTGTCCCGTCCCGCCCAGTCCAGCGTGCCAAAAGCGGTGTTTGAAAATTTTGCATGATATATAGACAAGATTCTACTCCTCCGCCCCAAAAAAAACGCAACACTTGAAACTGATAACTCGAAAAATAGCAATTCAGATATTTGATCAATAGTCAAACAGTTTAATCTTAATTATGTGGCACTGGAGTATAATATGTTGTTAGCTTAATGAAGTGTCAAACTGTTTAAGCTTTGAGATTTGGATTGTTATTGCATGAAACATGCGTACTTCATAAACAATCAATTGAAAATATGACAACTTGCTTTTGGTAGTTCAACTAGATGTGAAACAGCTTTATTTACTAAATGTATTATTCCAATTGGTTGGATAGAGATGAACGTATCGGGAATTGCAATGTCTTTTTAATTAAGTTTTCAACTCGAAGTTCCTTAACCGTCCGGTAGGAGGGTTAACGAGTAGAGTCGAGTTCAGTAGTAGGTTGTTCGAGAAATGATATCATACTCGAGCTTTAAATGGTTTTTTTCAAAATAGTGTTCGATACTCGTTTAACAATCTTGAGTTACAAATTAAGACCTAAAGTTCAAACTTTGTAAGCTCGTTTATAGACTCGAGCTCCATTTGAAATTACTCATTTATTGGCTCGAGCTCAAAGCAGGTACAACAATTCTTTTTGTGAAAACGTCTGGTGCTAAAAAGTGTATGCTCGTTTTCAACTAATTGGTACTGTTGTTGATTTCATCGTTTTCAACTAAAGGGCGTTTTAGACATTTAAACGATAGTCAGTGCCTTCTTTGATCGTCCATGGTTGCAATTTTCATGATATGCTTACTTAAATTTCGTATCTGGATCAAGAATTCTATTAAAATATTGACTACTAAAAATTATGACACATTCGTTGCAACAATCATCGAGTGACCCACACTGATGTGTGAGAGAGAATGTCATGTATATTATATCAATAAGATGACATGATACAATTAAACATCGACTAACTGATGTTCATTTATTCAGGATTTTCAGCTTGGAGAAATTGTGAGAAGCTTGCCACAGTGTCATCACATGTTCCACCTACCATGCATTGATAAATGGCTGATTAGACATGGCTCTTGTCCATTGTGTAGAAGGGATCTTTAGATTTTTCTTTCTCAGTTATGTTGTAAATCCCCAAATTAGAACTTTCTTTTTTCACAATTTGACCCCTAATGTTTCATCATTTCTTGAATTAAACCTCCAAGTTTTAATTTTATCTGTTTTGTATATGTATCATGATACAATTGAAAGTCCATTTTTACCCATTTGTATAAAAACATAGTTTTCCACATTCTCGGCTCTTTTTATTTTGATTTCAACTATAAAACATACAACTAGTCTAACCATAACCATAAGGATGGTGCCTGATTGGTTTAAGCTTGGTTCCAAAGATCAAAAGTACCAGAGGTCTCAGGTTCAAATCCAAGGAGGAACAAAAATCATTTTGTGGCCACGAAGGTTCAAATGCGATAACTTCGGGCTATCTGCAAAACAGGTGGTTGCCTTGGGATTAATCAGATTGCATAGCGGATTGGATATCCAGGTTAATAAAATAAACAAACAAACATACAACTAGTCTTGAAGTACAGATGCTATCTAATGTCCACATTCTTACCTGTTAACTTAAACCCATCGAAAGTCTTGGAGTAAATGCATCATCTATGCGTCTATGGTTTTTCTTTTCAACCCGGCGACACAAGTGACGTACATTTTCATTTAATTGGGAAAAAACGGGTCTGTTGTCTTGAGACATTACTCTTTTGCTTAAAAATCCTTAAGTTTTATTAGGCATGAGATGAGGTCCGCCCTGTCGGGAACAGTGTACTTGTCCCGACGAAACCAGATACCCCAAAAGTAAAAAATCAAGAAGGGACGAGGACAGGTAACGTGATCCCTGATCTTCCATGTTTCCATGTATTAAATGTATTGTATACTATATATTTAATAGTAAACTAGTTGTGTACCCGCGCAATGCGGCGGGAGCCATGATTTTAACGATTTTGAAGTTCCACTGGTTTTATAAGATAAAATTTAACGATGATATATGTTACACTTGGTCTTTACATATTAATACAATTTGAATAAATAAAAGTTATGGTTCCAATTACAGACTATCGATGAAAAAAATTGTATGACAGTTTAAAATCCAATATATTTAAAATTCAACATATTTAAACGACTCCACAAATATGTTCGATTTACACCAAGAGCAAAGAACCAAGAAACTTGAGTTTTAAGATAAACATTCAAAACCAATAAAGAAAACTACAAATTTAACATATCATAAGCCATGAAAAGACCAAAAA